TAACTGCCTTCTTAACTTGTTGACCAGAGGCATGAGGAGCCCAAAGTAGCCAAAAGGAAATCTTAACTTTTAGTTTAATGGAATCATTGCTGTGCCTCCTGGCAAAAGCTTCYCAGCTCTGGAACTAAGATTTCTAGACCAGCAGAGCATAAAGTTGTAGGGACARGAAGCAAATTTTTTTCTAGCTGTTCACTAGGGGTAACAGTGAGTAGTTCCATTCCTGTTTCTACCCCTTGATTCCTGGACCAGTGAATCCTAGCTAGAGGAGAAGTAGTACCACATAGTAATTGCTTAAAGATTATCCCACTACAGATCTACAGCCAAATTATGGTGCTTTAAAGTCACTTGGAGAAGTTCCTTTCTTTCTCTTTTTTTCTTGTAGTTGTTGATGGACAGATGCCTTAATTTTATTTATTTTTATGTGGTGCCGAGGATCAAACCCAGTGCCTCATACATGCTACGCAAGCACTGTGCCACTGAGCTACAGTCCCAACCCCAAGAAGTTCCTTTCTGTGTTATGTAATATTTAGTTAGATTGAGTTGCTTTGCTTTATTTTTGGTTTGGGGAGCTTCTTTTCAAAAGTTAATTTTTTATAACTAAGTAAAATATATATATGTTTCTTTCACTTCTAAAAATTTAAGTAGATTTCAATAAGTCTAGTTTCTTTTCCTGTCTTTTCCACACTATTTTCTCCTTGTTTTTGTAGGTAACCTTTGTTTGTTTAAACTATGGTTTCTTTTTAAAATCTAAGCAAGCTTAATATGCACATTTATATATTTCTTCTTTTCTTAAATGATGACATACCAGGAACACTTTTTTCTACCTTGCTTTTTTTTTTTTTTAACGTAACACTATACCCCAAAGACCATTGCACAGTAGTCCAGAGAGAGAATCCTCACTTTTGTTGCAGTTGTCTCATACTCTCTTGTGTACATGTACCATAGTTTTTATTCAGCCTATTTCCTTATGTGGACATGAGGGACATGGACATATAATCTCTTTATGTGAAATCTTTTTTTTCTTTTTTTGATGTTATAAGCAGTATCACAATGGAGTCCTAGGAATGGCATTACTGAATTAATGGATAAATTCATATATAATTTTTGTTAGATACAGTAGGGAACATRTGTAACTAACTAGCTTGATAAATTCCAACAATAAGCCAGCTTTCAGTTCAAGGAGTCATAGCTCATGGCAGCATATAATTATTATATTTACATGCAAAAATTATGCTGCATACTCATGACCTAAGGTATAAAAATTTGCCCAATTACTGCATAAATTAGTCACTAACTACTGGCATCACCAAATGTTCCTATAAAGAGAGTTAAAAAGACCTTTCTTCTGCTTTGCTGATATTGGTGTACTTGTTATACGWGTATCATTACTAATAAAAACATCCACTGAGTACTTGTCGAAGCACTTTCAAGTAYTTTTGATCTTCTCAACAATCATAGGTTGATGATTATAATTCCATCTTACTGAACAGAGAAGATTAGTTACAGCAGATGACAATACAATAAATTAGTGGCAAAGTCAAGTCCTATTCTACCAAAACTCCATGCTAAATTATKTTTCTAAGCCACCAAGCTGCTTATATATATTGGGATATATGAGAACTTCAAGTTGGTTGTTGTTTTTAGATATTAAGTAGCAGTTTTGAATTATAAGAGAGGAAGAGAAYACTAAAAATTTTTWAAATTTCCTCCTCACATATAGTATTAATGAATCCATTTTCTGTTGCTATAACAAAATACATACAGTTGGAAATGTGTAAAGAAAAGAGGTCTATTTAGCTGTTTCATAGACTGAAAGTCCATGCTTGGTTGGCCTCATTTGTTCTGCCATGGTGAAGGTGTCGYGGGAGTACATACCAGAAGGGGTGAACACATGGCAAGACAAGAAGCCAGAGACTAGGGAAGAGCCAGTCTTGCTCCTTTATAACAACTCACTTTTAGGAGAACAACTCACTCTGTGCCAGACCAGTATCAATCTCTACATTTTCCCCCACTGCAGATTTAACTCAGGGGAATTTTACCACTGAGCAATATCCCCAGCCCTTTTTATTTTTTGTTTTGAGACAGGGTCTCGMTAAATTGCTTGGCCTTGCTGAGTTGYTGAGGCTGGGTTTGAACTTAAGATCCTCCTTCCTCAGCCTCCTGAGTTCGGATTACAAGTGCACAAACCATGCCTGGCTCCAGTATCAATCTCTTCTAATGACAGTGGCCCCAGTGACAAATTGCCTTGCATGTAGGCCCAACCTCTTCAAAGCTCCACATTGCCATGCTAAGAACAAAGTTTCCTTTCTATACTTGAAACCTTGGGGGCCAAACTATAAGCAAATCATAGCACATGCATAGAAGTAACTTGTGGAGGCCACAATTTCGTCTTTCATATACCATACCAAAAATTACTGCATGTGAAAATTTTTCTTTTCCTTTTTTTTTTATAGCAAAAAACTAAAAAAAAAAAAAAAAAAAAAAAAAAAAAAAAAAAAACAAAAAACAAAACAAAAACAAAAACAAAATCCTGCAACCAAACAGATGCAATTTAAATACATTAAAATTGTTTTGGTAAGACTGAAAAACAGCAGCCTAGTTTTAATAACCTAAATGAGTCCTATTGAGCTGGGTGTGGTGTCATGTGCCTGTAATCCCATCGACTCAGAAGGCTGAGGGAGGAGGATCACAAATTCAAAATCAGCCTCAGCAATTTATGGAGGCCCAAAGCATCATAGTGAGATCATCTCAAAAAAATAAAAAATAAAAAGGGCTGGGGATGTGGCTGTGGTTAAGTGCCTCTGGCTCAATCCCTGGTACCCACCCCCGCCGRCCCCCCAAAACTGAAAAGAATGCTGCAATTGTGCACTATATTTTATAATAGGAACTTTTATTATGATTAGTAGTAGGTGAAAAGGAAAGCTTTTTCACTCTTATATTCTCCTAAAGTACAGTTGCTGAGTATGTAAGAGCTGTGTGATGCCTAAATAYATTAGATTATTGTTTTATTATTGAAGAAAATGGAGGTAAAGGAATGTGACAAGGTTTTAGTTTAAGCCTCTTTCCATGATCAGCTGTTTTTGACTTTTTTCTTGGTAATTATTGCTAAAATATTCATTTGAACAGTAAAATATTTAAATGCCTGGACACCAAGGTTTGGTATCATTTTGTTTAGCATACATCACAATTTATATATTGATTGTTTTCTTTTCTTTTGTAGCTATCCAGTGTCTAGAGAGTATATTAACATATATAAAAGAGAGGAGTTAACTTTTTATCTTCCCAAATAAAACATTTTGAAGATAGGAAAAAAGATTCATCACAAAGAAAAAAGCATTATAATATATCTGTCTATACATGGCTGCCACAAAATATGAGTTTGTATTTTGAAAATCTAGTATGCTTTATATAAATAGCTATTAAAATTATGTTACTCAAGCTTTTGGGAACAAAGAATTAGAAGTTCAGATAAAAGTTCAGATATTTAAATATGACACTAAATCTAGTCCTTTAAAAAAAAAAAAAAACAAGGGGCTGGGGATGTGGCTCAAGCGGTAGCGCGATCACCTGGCATGCGTGCGGCCTGGGTTCGATCCTCAGCACCACATACCAACAAAGATGTTGTTGGTATGTGGTGCTGAGAACTAAAAAATAAATATTAAAAAAATTCTCTCTCTCTCCCCTCTCTCACTCTCTCTTAAAAAAACAAAAACAAAAACAAAAACAAAGCTTTTTTTGTGTGTGTGGTGCTGAGGATCGAACCCAGGGTCTCACRTGTGCTAGGCAAGGCTCTACCCACTGAGCTACAACTCCAGCCTCTTTGCTTTGTCTTTTGAGTATAAACTCCCTCAGGCTTCCTGATTGCATTCCTTGTCTCTCTCGAAATTCCTAGAATGGAAAAATCAGGTATTGTGAATTCTGCCTTCTAAACAGAACATTCTCTGTTCTGCAACGAAATGGCGATACAAAGGAAGGATTCACTTGAGTGGCGGAGGTCAAACGCCTATGGAATTGCACCCCAAGATATGGACAAACTGCCTACTCCTAGCAGCAAGAGACCATGTGAGTTGGCGGGCGGAGGATACGTATTTTAGATGTGGTTGGCCATTATACGCTCGCCATGAGGAGTCACAGTAGTTTGGAAATAGGATTTAAAAAACAACAAGGAAAGTTGTACTGTCATCATCCAGTTTTTTTTTTTTTTTTAATGGCATTTCCACCACCGTAAGAAGTCATTTAAAGTACCTGGGATAGTAGAGTCCGACCCTTTGCGGCACTTAAGCCCAGAAACTTCCTAGCGGGACTCTTGTAGAGAAAACAGACTGGGGTTTCTAATTCTAGAATGTGGGAAACCGGCCCAAGTCGGCTTTCATCCCCTTTTAAAACACATACAGAATTCCGCGTGCTAAAGGCCCAGCCTCTGGTAGAGGCGCGCACGAAAGGATGCTCGAAATCCGAGCTCACGAATCCAGAGATGACTCCGAATTCAAAATTCAGTTCCGAGTACGAGCGCGCCAGGGGGGGGCGGAAGCCGCGCCACGTGACCGGCCCTCCTTCGTGGCCATTAATACCGAGGCATTCGCCACTGCCACTGCCACATTTCCTAGCTCCTAAAGCGAGGGACAACCCTGACACATCTGAGGAGGCGGTCCAATTAGCTCTGAACTCGGGGTCACTAGAACTCGGGCCTCGTCCAGCAGTGCTTTCAAAATCCCTCGTAGGCAAAGGGCTGTCAGAAACTTCCGCCTGGGTGCCAAACACGTGACCGCGTGAGTGTAGGGAAGGCAGCCTTCACTACTCCAGTCCCGGGCCTCCGCCCGCCCAGTACCCTTCACGGCGCGTGACGACGCTGCTCACGGCGGCCTCCGCCCTGGCGCGCCTGCGCACGCGGCTCTCGCGGTGTCTCGCGCTCGGCCCCGCCCACCTCTGCCCCCGCCCTTTCCGCCCCTCCCTCCCCCTCCGCCCTGTCTCTCGGCGGCGGCGGCGGCGGCGGCGGCTCGCGCAGCTTGTTGGCTCGCTATATAAAGGGGAGAAGCAGGCGGACCGGACGGCTGGAGCTGCAGCCGGTGGCGGCAGCGGCGGCGCGGGGAGCGGCGACCGGTGTTGGTTTCCCTCCTTGGCGCGGGGTGGGGAGCGGGCAACGCCCCCCGAACCCCTGAAGGGTCGTGGCTTTTTTTAAAGGCGATTCTCCAGGTTTTTAGCCCGGGAGGAGTACCCCCCTCCTCCTAATCTCACCGCTACCCTTACTCCTTCAGGATCGATTTTGTTTTAAATTTTTGCCCCAGTCTTGCGGTGGCTTGGGCCACCTTCCAGGTCTTCGTTTGTTTCTTTTTTTTTTTTTTGGTTTTGTTTTCTTTTCTCGAGGTTGCCCCCCTCTTGTTTGTGTTGTGTGTGGAAATGGCGAACTCGGCAAACACAAACACCGTGGTAAGGACGTGGTTCGGTGGCCGGCGGGGGCTTCGTTCCGGCGGCAGCAACGGCCGGACCGGGCGGGGGCGGGGACGGCGGCGACTCCCGGCCTCGACTCTCCGTCGCCCGCGAGGCCGCCGCCGCCGCCGCTTCCCGCCTCGGGCGGACCGGGCTGGGGCGGCGGGCGCGGGGGGGCGCCGAGGGCTCGCGGCGGCGGGAGGGCGGGGGCGCCAGCGGGCCTGGGGCCTCCGCGGGCGGACCGGGCCGCACAGGCGGTTGGGCCCGGGCGGGCGCGCGGCCCCGACCCCGGCCCCCGTCGCCGGGAGGGCGGGCGGGAGCGAGTCGCCGCGTCCCCGGCGGGGGCCAGGCTGTCCGCTGGCTCGACGAGGCTCCCGAGCGGCCGCGCATCCAAAGCCGAGCCTAGGGAATTGGGCGAGCCCCCGAGACCCACTTTAGTGCAGTGGAAGATTGACGGTTACTTTCAGGGTTACTTTGGGTTTCTCTGGCGGTTGTGCTTTGGGAACCATCTCTGGGGCCATTTTATGCTCTTTTTTTTTAAAAAAAAAAGGACGAAGGTTGAAAAGCACTTATCTCAGTTCCTTCCGCACGGGTAAAATGGCGAAGGGGAAGCAAAAGCCCCATCGTATCTTCGACTAGCAAAAGCACCGAAACAAACAAAAAAGCCTGCAGTGGTCAAAGTGTCTCCCGCTTTCGCCTTGGAATTTGCCTACTTCTTCCCGCTTGTCCCTTTTTGGTTACTTGCGATCACGTAGGTTTGCAAAAAGCAGTCACATAAATAACCTTTTCAGTCACCAACGCAATGTGATCACTAGTCCACCCAACTCTTAATTATTTTATTATGACAATAAAACACGTTTTTGCCCGATCCCAAATGCCGCAGACAAGCCCGCGGCCGCGCGACACAGTACCGTTGGCGACTCGGGTTGATCCATCATGGCTGCGGCCGCTTACCCTGCTTTTCAGTCCCTGAGCCTTGTGGTCCTCCTCCCTTTGGCTGCCCTGTTTATATAGAGCCATTGCCGCTCTCTAATATAGACTCTGCCAGGATGGGAAGGTGCTTTTCAGGCCTACGTCACCGCCTCTCCATTTAAACACCAGATCCGGCTTTAAATAGTGAGAGCTGCTGAGAGCGGGGCTGGGAGGTGCGTGCTCCCGAGGCGAGAGGCGGGCGCGTGCAGAGCTCTATTTATTTCTAGGTCCTTTTCTAACGCTGTAATTTTGCATCCTGCTGGGGCCGCTTAAAAGCCCCAAGTCTTTGTTTTGTTGCAACACCTAGGGTTTGCTTTCATTGTTCAGAGAAATACGCCCAACTGCCGGCTCATTTTTTAGATTTTTTAAAAATTTAAAATCACATGACATTTTTCTTGGATTGGAAGGTGTCTTATTGTCGGAAATTTTTCAAACCTTTTCTATATTAAATGGTAGCTGTAATGGACTGCATGGGTTTGAGTTTACTGTTCACCAAGTATTCAGAAAATATGTTACAACTATATCTTATAATATTTTCTCATGTTTTCCTATAATTATCCTAGAAACGAAGCTTTTCAAAGAAATAGGCAAGTGGCTAAAGCCCATATAGGATTTCATGTCCACAGTACACTGATGGGTAAGGGGAAATGCAATAAGAGACGGCAAACTGCATTTTAAAAAATTTAAATTCTAAGTAGGCCGTGTTTTTATTGCATTGGATATTAACCTGGTACCCAGTATAGAAATTAATTTACTTTCCACCACTGCATAAAAGAATTAACGCTTTTGAAAGGAAACCTCTAATTAATCACTCGATAATGTCACTGGTTTTAAAGTTTGCGATATTTGCTTTTTTAAAAAATCTGGACAAACCTAAATTATCTTCTGTATAATAAAAACTTTGGCTCAAGTGAAGTTCAGAAATTTAAGTAATAAATTAGATATTGCTTATTTCAAACAGTGCCTGAATACCCACATGCTTTTAAGAAAAAAATCAATATTTTGAGAACTTTTCACATTGTAAACAACTGCTAAATTATTCTTTATGCATATACTCTGTGACAGACTACACGTTTCTCTTGTGCAACCATAGTGCTTCTAAATTGGTTAAGTGCCGGGGTTGTGGTTCATTAAGACACAAAAGCAAAATCTTAAAGCATGAATGAATCATTAAATAGGAAGTACCAGAAAAAAGCAGATTTGTATTTATAAGTGTCTGAAATACTAAGCAGAAATGTTTTAGGATAACTGACCTCAGATAAAAATGTCTGTAGTTTCCTGGAAAAATAATTGATTTATCCTACCTATTTAAAATTACATTGCCTATGTGATGTCCAGAGAAGTCATTGGTAGAAAGCACTCTATAGTTGTACATTTGTAATTCAGTAGTTAAATTACCATGGATAAGATAATCTGTAGCTAGATATACTTTATATAGAAGAAGAATGTTTAAAAGTAAGGAGGGACTAGAGAGATTCTCTTTTTACAGATTAAGTTTATTGAGGCAGAGTTGGCATAATAAAAAAAAGTAGATTAGTGAGTGAAACAGTAAGGATATTTGAATTGTCCTGCTTGTAAAGAAAAGGAATTAATAGGTTTTAATGGTTGAGATACATTGTGCAGGACAAACCAGTATTTTTGGTTAGGAAGGATATATTTTCTTAGAAGTTTCCCTGTGATAACAGTATTGCTGGTAGAGATGCTGATAAAGCATTTGATTTCTTTTTGAAGTTTGTGTATGAGAGCAAATCCTTGGTTTTATTGATAGCCAGTAGCTTTAACCTTAAGCAAGGTATCAAACACAAATAATGACAAAGGATTAAATGAAAAAAATATTAACATTTTGATAATGTGTAAGAGTTATAAAGAGACATATCTAGTTTATCATTTGGAATGCAAACTTCTTTTTTTTTTTTTTTTAACCCCCCATAGGATGAGGTTTAGGCTGATTGTTCTAACTCCCTCCTTTTGGTTTTTAGAAACCTTGTAAAGTGCTCTCACATTTGTTTTCATTTTAGTCATTCTTCTGTTAGTCTTCTGGAAACTAACTCCTCCACCCAACTCCCCCCTCCAAATAATACCAGCAATAATAATAGTAATAATTACATTGAGCATGCAGGGATGTTCATGATTTTATTCTGTAGTGTCACCTAGGCAGGAGAAGGAAGAGAGAAATCATGAGAAAAGAATCAGTGTATCTGTTCCTCTGGGACCTTGAGATCTGTAATTGTGGTTATATGAATAGTTTAATGGTATAGCTTGACATTACAAATTGGGTCACAAAAAATAGAAGTGAGACGATTTTTAAACTTGAATGTCCATTATTACCATATGAGTGGACATGAGGTTCTCCAAAGTCTCAAGACTTAGTGGCAAGGTTATATGGTATAACAGGGTATAAAACACCGAATGGAATAAAAGGAACCAGATATAAGCAGCCATAAAGCCATTTTAAAATATCATGTTAAGTATTTTTTCTACAAAATAGGAGATTATAACTGAAAATGTATGGATCTTGTATGTCTAAGGGCCTTCTGTTTATGAATTGTATTACATGTCTTAATACTTCTCTTAATGTGCAGTCATCAAGTACAGTACAAATGGTGTTTATTAGGATGGCCATAACATATTCTAAAATAAGTTTTAGATAGTTGACAAGATGACTTTTTAATTTTTTTGAATCTGAACCTTTTAACCTGTTGAAAACAATCTTTTTCAAGAGTCTTATTTTTCCTTTAAAGCCTAAATTATATAGATCTGTGATTGAAGATGTTATTAATGATGTGAGAGACATCTTTTTGGATGATGGAGTGGATGAACAAGTCCTGATGGAACTAAAAACTGTGAGTTTGTCTCTTTTTTTAATATTTATACTTCCCCCCACTAAGGACATGTTCTTCAGCCACAAATGAATGTGTTTCCATAGGATGAACATTTGACTCTGCTTAAGAATGCAGTATAGTTTAGTGAATGGGTGGTGGTTTTAAATCCCAACTCTACTATCCAGTCTTCCTCTGAACTCAGGCAAGCTACTTTTATTTCAGTTTCCTTACACGAAGATAGGAATTGGTAGTATTTAACCTTAAACAGTTTTGAGGATTAGATGTACTAGCTACATAAAATACTTATCACAATGCCTACCCAATAGCAATAGCTATTGTTATGGAGTGGCTAACATTCTACATTTTATAGTCCAATTACTTGAAATGCCTGCAACTTTTTAAAATCATTTTTGGTCTTAATATACTTGGTTGTAAAATTGGATTTGTAGGATTGAAGTATTTAATTAAAAGAACTTTAGGTTCTTTGGTCAGATTTTTTTATGTGGTCCAAGTGTTATATTTAAAATATGTTTTATGTTGGGAGCTGGTTTTCTGTTTATTGGATTTAAACAGAAATATTTTTTTTTATGATGTTTGGTGAAATTGTGGAATATTTTTGCCCTCTTGATTAGAATACGGTTCTCAAATTATATAGTGTATGGATTTCTGAGTTTTCTTCACAGGTGAACTAAACACCTAAGTCTGAAAAATCATAGACTTCCTTTCATTCTTTTCAAGTAAAATTGGTGTTCTATGAGAAAAGTGACTAGCTAACTCATAGCTAAAATGCTCCTTTGCTTTTCCTTGAGACAGCTGTTCATATGTAGCAGAAATGATTTATACATACTTTCAAGTCTGATGAAATTTATTCATGTATTGTGCTGATGTTAGAAAATTTGATTGCCTGATGTTCTGTAATGAAATGTGTCAACATTTGAAAGATCTGTATAATTCATTCAACTTTTATTTTCCAAAAGTTCATTGATATAGTTTCAGATTTTACATTGCTGAACTTTTAAGAAAACATTTTTCAAAATACCTTTCCTATCCCACCTATTTAACTTTAGGCCATATTTTCTTCTTTAACCAAAACAAAGCAAATGTAGAGGCAGATTTGAGAATACAGCTATTTTTCTTTAAGTCATTTCTCACCCTCAGTTTTTATGTGGAAAATGTGATTATTTTCAGAAAGAATATTATTTGTGTTAACATGTGGTGAATGTATTTTATTTCTTTTTAAAAATTATTTATTCATTCATTTATTTTTATGTGGTGCTGAGGCTTGTACTGAGTGCCTCACATATGTTGGGCAAGCACTCTGCCTCTGAATTACAGTGCCATCCCATGATGATTTTATTTCTAAGGATGCAGTATAGTTTAATAAGTAAAACACAAACAAGGTCTTTGAGGTTCTTGTTAATTTTTGAAAGAGATACTGAGTCCAGAGATCAAAAAGTGTTAATATTGCTGGTTTATAAATTGAATATTGAGCTCTTTAAAAGCTATGTCTAAATATATAATCACAGTAAGCAAATAGGAAGATTTGTTTTGCTCTTATTTATTCATTCATCTGAGGTGTAGAGGCTGAAAGTTAGTAACTCATTAAGTAAAACAAATATCTTTACTATAGTGTTGAAATACGTCTTAGTGTGTTTCAGTGTCTGAGCAACTTCTCTATAGAGTATTCAGTAAGAATCTGCCATGTGAGGAAGGGGGGAAAAAAAGCTTGAGTAGAAATGAGGAAATATTTACCCTGARAAAAATACAAGATTTATGAATAGTGAAGAGTAAGTATCCAAAAATGCAAACGTAAGAATGCCAACTATAAGATATGAGTTGGAAGAACAGTATAAACTATTCAAAGAGCATAAAGTATCTCAGGGATATGAATAATGAGAGAACAAGCTTATTTTGATTTCTTAGTGTAGCTGGCATGTTTTTGTTTTGCAATTAATGTTATAGTCATATAATGGTTGTCAACGTAGTTCTGCCACCTTATGTGGAAGTTATAACATTTATAAGTTGTAGAAAATCATTCCTAATGACTAATTTATCCTAGGTCAAGAGTGTAGTGGTCAGTCCAGGTTGTTATCAATTCTTGGTTTCTACATTGAAAACCTGGAGAATTGATTATTTTCCTATATTCCTGATAGAAGCAAGAAATTAAAAAGAAAAGTTCTCTTTAAAATCAAATATCTTGCCAGGGGTGGTGGTGCATGCCAGTAATCCCAGTGGCTCCAGAGGCTGAGGCAGGAGGATCACAAGTTCAAAGCCAGCCTCAGCAAAAGCGAGGTGCTAAACAACTCAGTGAGACCCTGTCTCTAAATAAAATACAAAATAGAGTTGGTTGGTAGTGTGGCTCAATGGATGAGTGCCCCTGAGTTCAGTCCCTGGTACCAAAAAAAAAAAAAATAATCACATCTTTACTTGCACTTCTATTATATTTGGCTTTTTAAGTATGGGTGGATATTCTATAGGTCATGTGGTGATATTTAATTTACTGGGTAATTTTAAATGACAAAAGTTTGCACTTATTTAGACTTTGAATCCTCAGCTTCAACCACAGTGCTTAGCATATGCAATTGGCATTCAGTAAATATTTAGCTGAGTTGATTAAAAATAAATGGGGCTCCAGAAAATAACTGAACAAAGTAGTTTGATATTTTTGTTTTTAAATGGGGTATATTCTAATATGCTCAGTTATATAGGAGTTAAAAATAAAACTCTAAGCCTAAACTGGAGCTGGGGTTGTGGCTCAGTGGTAGAGCGCTCAYCTAGCATGTGTGAGGCGCCAAGTCTGATCCTCATCACCACATAAAAATAAAAGTATTGTGTCCAACTATAAAAAATAAAACTCTTAGGCTAAACTAAGTTTGTTATTTTAATTCTCTGCACTAAATTTCTTTAGGATTTCCTTAGAATTTCCAGAGTGTGTGCTAGATTTAACAGCCAGCCAGCACTGTCCAATACAACTTTCTATAATGATGGGAAATATATATATATATATGTTTTATATATTTATTTATTTTAGTTGTAGGTGGACACAATATCTTTATTTTATTTTTATGTGATCCTGGGGATCTAACCCAATGCCTCACACATGCTAGGCAAGTGCTCTACCCCTGAGCCACATCCCCAGCATAAGATTCTATATTTATGTTCTATATGGTGTCACTAGCTGCAGGTGACTATCATGGACTTAAAATATAATTAAAGGAACTGAAGAATAGAATTTTTATTTATTTTGGTTAATTTAAATTTAAATCACTGCATGTGGCCAGTGACTACCATATCGGATTGTGCAGGTTTAGATGTTCTTGTTAGTAAAACTAACATTAATTTTATATTTTATGACTCATAAAGACATTGTAATTTAGTTCTAGTCCCTTCTGTCCTTTTTGTTTTTTTGGCCATTTCACAAATTCTTATCAGAAGCTGCATAAAGCTACAAAGGAAATCATGGTGAATTACATTATGATTTAGTGTGTGTAATGAGAATCCATGTAATTTAGGGTCCCATAGTTAATGCAGAAAAAGTGATGATATACACACAAAAAATTTAGCCCAATTCTTAAGGTTTTTTGTTGAACCACTATGGGCCTACTTTTTTAAATGTGTCGATTATTAGAAATAGAGAAGGTATTGAAAATAGTTCTGTTGGTAAATTCATATTTGAATGGAAAATGTGCTTTGGATTTTTAAGTGACTAGATGGTAATGAAGGTTTAGAAATTCTCTTCAAAGTGAATGATAAAATTATCTCGATTTCCAAACTGTCAGAGACCTACCCAAATCCAAACAGTAAGTATCATGTGAAACATGGCCTGTTTTTAATGAAACAACAGGAAGAGTTTCTTCAGTTGGAAAGAAGTTTGCCTGTTTCTAGTTCAGGTTTCTCAACCTTGGCTCTGTTGACATTTTGGACTGTTTGTTACAGGGCTATCCTTTTCATTGTAGGATGTTAGCAGCATAATTGTCTTCTGCCCACTAGATGCCAGTAGCACCTTTCAGTTGTGACCAAAAATGTCACCAGACTTTGCCAAATCTCTCTAGGGGAGTGGGGGCAAAATCACCTCCAGGTGAGAAATACTTCTCCAAATGTATTCTAGTTATATATAGATACTTGATTTACTCTGGGTATATAGAATTTTGGACCATAAATTGAATAATAATCTACTTTCTACTTCATTTGCTCTTCGGGAAAGCTGTGTGTCCCTGACATTTCTTGGTAGGAAAAATTAGTCTTTATGAGCTAGATAAAAATGTGAAAAATAGGAGAATTCTTCAGAATTTCTAGCCTAGCATACTGTGAGGAAGCAGTAAGTAGGTTCATCGTATTTTATAAGATAAGAAAGCAGACTCGGACTGTGATTTGATAAGAACTTAAAAGTGGTAGAGATGTGAAACTTTTTATCTCCTGTGATGTGTATAGTAGAATGAAGGTACCAAGGCTGTGATTTAACAGTTTATAGTTTAACAGTTGATATCCTGTTAACAAACAGGATGTTTTGCTAAATAAAATTATGTAAAAACATGGTTTGGTGATGGGTGGTCAGAGATGCTTTTATGAGTCATTTATTACTTGCTTTGAGTGCAGCAATGTAGCTAAGAGGTTAGGAGTTTGGATTAGAGCTGGAATTAGAGTGAGACAGACAAGGTACCTAGGTTGTAAAATTTTTAAAGAGATGGGGTTCAGATCTGACTATGATACTAGAGTCAGGCCGACTGGATTATATGCTAGTTCTGTCTATTAGTTGGTGCTCTTGGACAAATTACCTAACTTCTTGTTTTTCAGTTTTTTCTTCTGTAAAAAGGAGATGATAATGTCTATTTTATAGGTTTTTATAAAAAAACATTCTGTACATGTCAGATTTATTACACAGAATTCAGTAAATCTTAGTTACTAAAATGTCTAGTCAACATTTATACAAATGTATATCTCAAATCATTTTAGGAACAGAAAATGAATTTTCTGCATGTCAATTTTTAGAGACCTAGGCAAGGATTGCTGAAGTGTAGGGC